TGTTCAAACTTACTGATTTCTCTTCCTGCTTCTTGTGGTGCTTGTTATGTCTGTCACCAATGTCTCGCTTCATCCTGTTGGCTTTCTCCTCAAGTACGATAAATCTTTCAAGCATATCATCAAATGTTCCATCAACATCAAAGCTTTGGTCATCATCATTGTTCGTGACATCATTATCAAGTGTGTGAATGTTGGACAATCTATGAGTGCTACGTTTCTGTCTGTAGTAGTAGCGTCCACCACTGGGGGCCTGTAAGTTATTGTACTGGTTGATAGAGTTGGAGTGCACTTGTTGTCCTCCTTGACCTCCTTGTAGTGGAGTGTGTAGAGGTACGTTGTCAAGATCATTGTTGATGTCACACTCATAGCAACCTTCGCCATGTGGGAGCCCTGATTGGCCGGCTGGTGCCGCAACATGAGGAATGTCCACACCAGGTGGGAAGTGGAAACCTCCAGTGCCACCATCCTGTCCGGGTCCACCAATCATAGACACGCAATGCCTGGAAGAGAACAATATGGTATACCATAGGAAAGAAAACATAACATTATGGTAAAGTATGAACAAAAATCTTAGGGTGTATCAATTTGCAGAGAAGCAAGTTTTCACAATGTATTTTAGCAAAAATTAAAACGATGGTATGTTTATTACATATTAGTTCTGTTATTCAGAAAATATTTTGAATATTTAGATATTTCTCTGATGTTTTTCAACAAAAAATAATAAAACTGCAACTCCAAAGAGTAGCAAATCTTAACAAATCATATTAGCCAAAAAAGAAACATTTAAGACCACCATCAGTCATCGAGAAAACAAACCACAAATATCTCCTTTAAGGATCATTTCAAAGTCCCAAGAGATCTAGATAACCTGTTGCCAATTGCGTAGTTTCACCACTGAGATGCTCCCAATTATTTTTGTTTCAATTGAAATTTAACATGGGGCAACTTCCGAAGATCTGTTGCGTTTGGTATTTTCATGAATCAGTTAAGATGCCAAAACTTGTTTTCAAGTCAATGAAAATTTAACAGTAGCTCATATTTGCAAACCTGTTTCGTTCGTTTTTCTATTACCTTCATTCTGTCTGTTTATGTTAAATTCAATTTTTTCTGAAACACTTCGAATAATAATATGGGGATTTCTGACGTGTTAACCAATATCATAGCTTGTAATTTCACATCAAGATAATGAAAGATGTAAGGAATATGCTAAAATTGATTAAAACATCATAACGATGTGTTATATTCAAAAACTACCCAATGATAATTCAGACAAACAAAAGTTTGAACCATTGAGGTCTTTTCCCAGGGTCTTTCTGACCAGATTAGAAGGCAGGGCAGTGCTAGCTGACATTCATTAGCGTTAGGGGGACAATGACATGTGAAATTTGTTTGAATGATATTTCGGAGTGGCTAACATTTTTTAGAAAAAATAATTTTTTCAGCTTATCTAGACCCCTGAAACCCCCCTGGTGCATACAGCATTAAGATATTCCTATGATTGTTGTGTATAAAAGAGATGATACAGTGCATGAATTCTGAACTGGCTTACCCTTGTCCAATACGTGCATAGCCTCCAGGGCATCCACATCCAAAGCCTGATCCAGGGGAGAACTGACATCCATAGTTGCATACACCATAGCCACAGCCTCCACCTCCTCCACCACAGCCCCATTGTCCATATCCTCCACCACCAATGCATCCTCCTCCTCCACCTCCTCCACCCCCAGCTGAAAGTATTGAAGTTCATGAAAACACAGTAATATACTTCCTTTGTTTTGATAAAAAGTATTCTACTTTGGAGGTGTTCCATTTACTTCATTTAACATTAAGTCAGTTGGGTTTCTAGAGGTGTTCCACTTTACAGGAGTCACTGTACAGATTCAAAGGCTGTTAAATAGTCTGTATTTGGTATTCTAATGATGTTGCTCGGAGGTTAATAATTTTGTGTAACAGTATTCGACTCTTTTTCAATTATAACTTTCTGGGATTCACATAGATATCAAAGAATGTCAAATCTTTACTTTGTTAGCCAGAGTCCAAAAAATTCAATTGACAGAAACACATATTTATGAACTTCGTATTTTGACAGGAATGTGGTTTCCTTACGCAGGCATTGTTCCCATTGGTTTTTGTAGTAGCCATCAGGGCAGACACACTCGTACGTTCCCTCCATGTTGTTACATCCATAGTCGCAATGTTCCCCATCTACACATTCATTCTCGTCTGAAACAATAAGTGACAATACCATTTAAAAGGTTATCTAACAGAAAGGTGCATTTTGATACATTTACCAGCACCAGGAGGTTGATTTTGAGTAAACACGACACAAGTTATTGAGATATTATGCAGTGCATGGTTTTTTGATAGCATCAATAATGTTGCAAGTCATGAACTTTCTAGAGAATGCCATTGGTTGAGTGTTACATATTACATATGTAGTATTACTTATGAGCACTCCATTCTATGGATGTATACGAGAATAGAAATTAAGATATTCATATTACGATTATTCCTTGTAAACACATGACAAAGGTAAAAGGGGAGTTCAGTTTTCAAGTATTTGCAGGGATTCACATTTGATAACTTGGGCCCATGATCACTTGAAATGCTCTTGATGAAAAATTGCTGATTTTGAAAGAATTTTTTGCCTGGGGATTTACCTGACCCCCTTGGACTCCTATGGTTATTGGCCTGAGAGTCATCCCCTTAGCCCATCTCAAGAAGTTAAGTGACACTAAATAGATGTGTTCAGTATTGCATAGAGTGACATTCAATTTAATAGAACTGCACTCAAGTTAACTGTACATGTACATGCAAATGTGCAAAGTGAACTTACCAACACAAGCTTGTCCAGTAGGGTCAGTGGTGTATCCTTTAGGACAGTGACAGGTAAAGCTACCTGGGATGTTCTTACATGTCCCGATAGGCAAACACAGGTGTTCCTTTCTACATTCATCAATATCTACAAATCAAATAAACAAGTAATAAGTTATTTTCTAACTTCTATTCAGTTATTAGAAACTTATACCTAGCATTCTAACAAATTAAAGGCAGAATCAGTAACTCGTAACAAAAATTTTGCAATTTTAGATCATTCCTTTCACATCATTCCTTGTCATGTCTATTTCCTAAAAAACACAAAAGTGTATACTGCATTTGAGAAAAACTAAAGATAAATATGATTACCATTTTTATTATTACGAGAATTTACACAACTTTGAATCCCTAATAACTTCACTTATAACATATATCGTGGAGATATTTTTGGAGATATTATATTTGAAATTGTAAGGAATATACTGGTAGGTCAAATATCACTCTATAGATCTGATTCTGCCTTGTTTACAATGCATTATTCTTAGCAAGCTAAGAAAATTAGTGCTCTATCAATTACTTACCAATACACTTCTTACTGTCTGAAGTGAAACCTTCTGGACAACTACACTCATAGGAACCCTCTGTGTTAATACATTCATGTGGACAATCATGTCTACCAGTGGCACACTCATCAACATCTGCAATATAAATAACCGCATATACATCTTCTGCATCCAACTACTAAATAAGGAGTGGAGTTGTTATGCCCTTATAAGTACATTTCAACATGGACAATCACAGCTATTTTCACTCTTGCAATCATTGCAATGATTTCATCCATTTTTGTATAGTGCATAGCTTGGTTGTTAAAACATCAAAACATCATAGATGCCCTAACAATGCTGGTTACTGGTCAGTAGTCTCACTCTTCCTGCTTTTGGGGAGTAACTGTAGCAGGCGTGATGAGGAGATACAAGCTCCATAAACATTTGATTCAATCTACCAACACTAGATGGTTTGTTAAACATGTAAAGTAATCATATGACGTATTAATCATAACTGAAACAACACTTACCCAGGCAAGATTTTTTATCTGAGCTGAGTATGTATCCATCAGGACACGAGCACTCATAGCTTCCCAGCATATTGATACATGTGAACTCACATGGCTTAGGTCTGAACCTACACTCATCCACATCTGCAATAGACCCAATATTGGATTATCATCATATTCACATGTGAATGGTATGGTCATTTTCACACTTGCATTCTCCAAAGGTTTTTAATTCTATCAAAGGTATCTAATAAATATTTCAGTGTTGAGCAGAGAACATCATGTTGAGATGTGGAAAATGTCTAAAATACATGGGAATTCACTGGATAATGTCTGTTTCAGCATGGCCAGACATCTGGTAGAAAGTTGTGAATTGAATTGAAGAATTAAATTGAAGAATTAAAAAGACATATCTTAATTGCTCAGTGTCAAATGCAAAATACTGTTCAAGGTTAAATATGGCGAATAAATTATCATTGAGTCTAATTGTGGTTGTTAGTTAATGTGTCCCTATATTGAACTTACCCACACATCGGCCACCAGTCCTGTCTGTCTTATAGCCTTTGTTGCACATACATCTGTAAGATCCTGGCACATTAATGCATTTCCCATTTTCACATGCAGTTGGCATCACTGAACACTCATCGATGTCTGGTCGGTCTCCAGAGCACAATTTCTTGTAGGCCCCTGTGATAAAAAGTAGCACGGGTTTAAAACAGGTTATGTTACAATAAACTAGTTCCAGACAAGACAATATTGTAAATGACAAATTAATTTCCCTAATCTTGAGTTTTACATAATATTTTCCAACACAAGAGCAAGTTTTAACTTACGTGTAAACTTGTTGGGACATTTCTCGCACTGCACCCCCCAGGCTACACCCATGGAACAACAGCAGTCATATTTGGTGGTACGGGCAGGCTGGTTATTCCTGGTAGAGCAACGGCCATCTGTCAGACTAGTGAAACAGAAGTCTTCTCTTGTATCTACAATATAGATGAAAGTTTAATTCAGACTTTATAAAAAGCATTTACATTAGTAATTGATTGACCATTATCTAGTTGTTTTACTCAAAAATATTTTTTAAATCTTGCCATCTTATTGTGCTATTTTTAGCTCCAGACATATACAGCTAATTATCAATTTCTCTTTAACTCAAAGAGTAAGTGTCCAATCGGCAATCATCATCTTGCTTGATCATCCTTCAAACTTGGGCTGTATTTTCGTATACACACGCGTGCAATACACCCGCACAGCAGTTAATGAGCCTTATCATGAAAACGATCAATGGGCCTTATGGTGTGAATTGCTTGGTCGCATGTTTTTAACAAAAAAACGACTCATTCAAGCACACACAGACACCAGACACACAGCACTCCTGTGGTGCTTCAGCAATTGACAGGAACGAGCGTAACTGACAAAGTTGGCATAGGGGTATTAAGTGCGCTTGAATGAGCTGTTATTCTTGAAAACATGTGAGCATGCAATTTGCATCGGGGAGCTTTTTGTTGATTTTTGTTATACCTACTGACAAGGCTCATTAAGTGCTGTGCGGGTGGATTGCACCCGCTGGGATATGAAAATGCACCCTTAGTTTTACCCATTTAAGTTTTGCAATCAAGTAAGAAATGAACAGCAAGGGACAATATCTAGTCCTATCTGCTTTATGATCTTTTATTAGCAAATCCTGATTTGCTAATAAGCAATTTGTGTAGTCATTTCCAGTTAGAAATCACTGTTGGAAATTAATCTAATCCAATTCATTATGATTTTTGTAATCCCAATTTGCAAATCCTAATGTTGTACTGTTTTTAACTGCAATGAAATCACTGCCAATGTTTTTAACTTTGGCAGGCTATGTGTCCCATATATGAAGATATTTGACGGGAGTAAAGAAGAAAAAGAAATAAAGAAAATTGAACAAATAGAAAAAATGTTCCAATTTTTATTGGCCCACCCTGTATACTAACAGTTGCAATACTACTCACAGTTGTACACACTATCTACTCATGGTTGTATTATCAACTCACAGTTTCACTTTCTACTCACAGTTGTACACACTATCTACTCATGGTTGTATTATCAACTCACAGTTTCACTTTCTACTCACAGTTGTACACACTATCTACTCATGGTTGTATTATCAAATCATGGTTTCACTTTCTTCTCAAAGTTGTACACACTATCTACTCATGGTTGCATTATCAACTCACGGTCTCACTT